AACTATGTTTTTTCTTGAATGAGACATCCTGTACATTTTGAAGAATCTTACGGCAAAACCATAGAACCCCGTAAATATTGAAGAATCACACGTTAAAACAATAGAGCCTCGTCAAACTTTCTTGAATGACTTAATTTGAGACACCCTGTATATCTCGATGGCATCCATGTTTTTTTTTCTTCCACGCCCGTGACCATGTTTTTTCTTCAATCCAATTTTTTCACTCATCATTACTATTATACCGTTATTTTCCACGCTGAGGTATTTGAGACACCCTGTATATTTTTTTTTCTTGAACGATGAGACATCCTGTATGGCAGCCATGTTTTTTTCGATTACGATAACAAATATTGCCCTCCCGCGTGTTTTCTTTACCCTCACTCTCCCCATTTCCCAACTAACACGAAAAAACGCTTGTGACGTATTTTGAAATGTCATTGCAGAATACCCCCATTGTCCCATTTTCTAACGTTTCTCATTGGGATCGCCCCCCTGGCATGTTTCTTTTTCGAATGAGACACCCTGTATACATTGAAGAAGCATACGTTGAAACGATAGAGCCCCGTTAAACTGCCATGTTTCTTAAATAATGTATTTTGTCGCACCCTGTATATTCCGCTCAATGTCCGCCACCATATTTTTTTTTTCTTAAATGATGTATTTTGAGACACCCTGTACACACATCGACGGATCGCGCAGTGAAATATAACAGTCCCGTTAAACTATCATGTTCCTTAAATTATATATTTTGACGCACCCTTGTATACTCGACTCAATGCCCGTTACATTGCCGCCATGTTTTTTTTTCTTTAACGCTGGCAACCATGTTTTTTTCTTTAATACCCGGTATATCTATTTGTTCTCATTCCAAACGCGCTCGAATCGTTATCTTCCAAACCGCGATAACGCTGCTCGATTCTCTGCCGTACGCGTGATCTTGAAAGGAACCAAAAATTGCAGAATGAACCTTAGCCGTTTTCCCATGTTAATCTCCATAAGGAATGAGCCAGAACTCTTGCAGCCTATTTACTTAATTTCGTCTTAAATTAAAATTGTTTAGCAAACAAAACACACAACAGCTATTTATAGATACAGCTCAAAAAGAGGCCATAATTTCTTTCAATAATCAGGTTAGGGAAAATCGGTCGAATTTAAAAAGACTTGTCTATACTATGATTTATTTGGGTTTCCAAGAATTAGCTTTTCGCGGACACGATGAAACCGAAGATTCGATCAATCGCGGCAATTACCAGGAACTTTAATCGTTATGGGGCAAATATGATTCACAATTTGGCACTTTTTCAAACGGGAGCGTTTTTTTGGGCACCTCAAAAAACCATCCAGAATCAGTTTATATACTGTTTAGCATATATTATTAAGGAAAATATAAGCAAGGCTGCGTTCATGGACGGCCATTTAAATGGTTTACAAACTAAAATAAAGTCCATAGCTTCTCATGCCCTTTTTACGCATTGTCATGCCCATGCCCCAAATTTAGTATTAAGCAAAGCGCGCAACAACATAAAAGATTGCCGCGTATGTTTTTCAAGTTTGTCTGGATTTTCGGCATTCTTTTCAAAATCCACCAAAAGAAGCCATGTTTTGAATGAAATATGAGGTAGCCGAATGCCAACTTTTGCTGTGTCTATATAGTCTTTATGACTTTAGCCTCCCCTGTTCTCCAATGCACGAGCCGTCACTGCCTGCGTCTTAAGTGCCCTAAATTAATTTTACAATAGTGCCTCATCTACAAGTCTTAAATTGATTTCACAATGTGTCCTTATGTAATAGTCAGGTAAATCTATTGATTAAAATATTATTTTAACAAGCTTTATAGTATACTATTAGGTTAGGTTAGGTTAAATTAGGTATTGGTCTACCATCGTTATTCATATTATTATGTTTACCTATTCCTACACACTCATAGGCATCTAGACGCCTATTGTTGTTAACTTGTCTAACTAATCTTAATGAACTGAAGTCTATGGAATGGTTTTGTTGTAAAATATGATGGGCGACTGCTGATTTTTCAGGTCCTCCATATTTTAAGTGTGCTACGTGTTCCTTTTATCTCACTTTAATAGATCTTTTTGTCTGTCCATAATATTTTGCATCGCAGTCCTTACATTCAATTTCGTTAATTCCAGACTTTTTCGAATTCTTGACTTTGTCTTTTGGACTCCCCAAAAGGCTCTGTAGTGTATGACTTGTTTTAAAAACCACCTTCATACCTAGTTCCTTGAAAATCTTTGCAAAGTTCCTCGAATATTGGTGGTATGGAACTGAGATGTATTTATCTTGGTTTTTGTCCTTTCTGAAAGTCGAGATTTCGTTCATTCCTAACCTAAACTTCTTCTTTCTTATTATGTCATCTACAATTCCCCTCGAGAAACCGTTAGTGGCTGCTATTTTCTGTATTATACGTCTTTCTTTTGTGAACCTATCATGTGTTAGAGGGAAAGTCAAAAGACGATGCACTAAAAAATTTAACCCAGCACCTTTGTGCTGTCCACAGTGATGTGAACTGTCAGGAATATACCTGTACGTGCTTTTTTCCTTTCTAAATACATCGTTTTCTAACCCTCCATATTGGCTCCTAATTACCAAAACGTCAATAAAAGGTGGTTGTCCCTTATTTTCTAACTCATACGTGAATGTTATTGATGGACATCTATTATTCAAAATGGAAACAAAGTCCTCCATACTCGATTTTTTGGTATCGAATATCGCGAAAATATCATCCACATACCTTAGTCAAATCCTAGGAAAATACTTTGACTTTTCTTTGGTTTCCATTTCGAATCTGCAGTTAGGGGGACAAGGGGTTTCCCATGGCCGTTTCTTCCTGTTGTTCATAAAAGCAACCTTCTACCTGGAATCTAATGTTTGAAAATTTCTAATTAGTTTTCACCCTTACTTATTTGTGATGCACTGTTTGGAATCTTTGGTGTAGTAATGAATATTACTGGAGTTTTTCCCAACACCAAATCGTTATTTTTAACACCTCGACGCGTGTTTCGATCACCAAGTGATCATCTTCAAAGAGGAAGATTAAACTAGAAACTAACGCGAAGCTAACGCTGTTTATGCTATATAGATATCCCATACAGGTAAACCAAACGTAAATTAATTTACGAAACACGTATCGAAGTGTTGAAATAACGGAATGATGGGATAAAACTCCAGTAATATTTATTGATTGAGATATCTCAAAAAATCAAATGAATTTTTGCCACCTGCTGAAATTTACCTTATCACTTATAGACATCCTGTGACAAAAAATATCTTAAATTCAGTTTTGATGTGGTTGTTTTTACTTTGAATGTTTCAGAAAAAAAACTAAGTCAAGTATCGAAATCTTTATCAAAAACATATTTTAAATACAAAGAAAAACATCATTCACGTACTTGGTATGTTTCACAGGAACGAACCCTTTTATCACATTCACAAAAGTTAACAACAAACATGATTTTTCATTTTATCGTAAACCGGCACGTACATATATTATCATTCATAATTCGTCCACCCACACATATCAGCACAAGGTAGCAGCTTTCAACAGTATGATCCACAGACTAACAAATATGCCCTTGTCAGAGGCGAATTTCAATAAAGAACTGAATATAATAAAGCAAATAGCCGTCAACAATGACTACGATAGCGATCTAATACGATGTTTATTATCAAAAAAGTTATACAGTCAAGCTTTGAAAGAAGTTTTTCCGGAGTTTTTTGGAGATTCAGAGTTTTTGAAAGGAAACGTTACATTATTTCATGAATTTCACACTATAAGTTTATTGAAAATCTGAGACTGGAATACTCTGGTGCCGTCGATTCCAAATAAACTGAAAGTGTTAATTATTTCTTAGTTCAATGAATTTTTTTATTTTTTGTGTCCTATAATAGTCTTCACCTGTCTCCAGAACGAACTATTAATGTGAAAGTTTTTTTCTTTTATATTCTCGAAAGAATAGATCACCTCAAGATCTATTCATTCATTTCGACTACAAAAAAAAAATCCGAAGTTTTTGCTGAAAGAGTTCAATGCTGAAAATAATATATATTTAGAAACTGTTTTGTTGTGACTTTAGAACGTTAGGTGTTTACCTGTAGAACTGAATATACTTGAAATTAACTCAATATTTTCAAAAAAAATCACATCTTGTTTGAAACAGTGAGTGTTTCATTTGAAAACAAAAAAATTTACTAAAATGAGTTTCCATTGAAATAATGGGCGGTTGAATATATCATTTTTTTAACGTCATTTCTGGCATAACTTTTTGGTACGTACCCATACAATCCATCGTCCATAGGACATTGGATTGCATGAGAAATTTCATTTCAAAAACCGAACTTTGATACGCCACACTGCTATTCGACACCCTTATAGTGAAACATATATGAAAAGAGACCAATATATTGATACCTGAAACTTTATGTGTCATCGTGGAGAATATTCATACCGCTCTTGGTGTAACCAAGTCACTTGGTAAGCAACCTCCTGCTGCCAGTGAAGCTATAGATTACGCTGTAGACGACCCCTCCCGATATAGAAGGCCCCGACACTCTGTCGAATGAGGCCCCTATGTCCTCCGTTAACAGATGAATAATATCTTCATCTATCTCACCCCAGCCAGGTAGGGGTATAACGCGGAGGGCGGTATGGATGTCTAAGGACTTTCATGCCACCAACAAACATCAGTTGTGACCCATTTGTCTTTCTGACAAACTTCAGTTAAAAGGGGAAGAAGGCCAGGCTTCAACCTGAATAAAATCAAGATGGATTCGATGCCGGTGAAGATGTGTATCCGCAGCCCCAGAAATCCAAATGGAATGACGAGGTTAAACAGGTAATTTGAGACTGGTCTGAACGAATACGAGGATTTGAATTAAATTGAATTGATCAGAAGGAAACGTTGAATTGAAAAAAAAGATTTTCATTTAGGTGCAGTCAAATTTAGATTGAGAATATCGGTTCTAAAGGACAGTTTCATGAATAGGTAGGCAGGTTTCACAGTGTAACCACCTGGACTGCGGGCAGAAATTTCGATAAACATACTCCGAAGTCTCACATTCGTAATTTACTTGGAGCTATCAAATCACCGGTACCCAGATCTGCCAGGAATGTTGTTTTACACAGCAAAGATACTCCAATTCCTGAATCCTTCGACTCTCGTGAAAACTGGCCCAACTGCCAGATTATCGGAGTAATCAAGGATCAGTCCTCCTGTGGTTCATGCTGGGTAAGATTTTATATTTTTGGAAACGGGATTCAATAAGAAAATAACATTTCTTTGGGATTTTAAAAATAGTACTATTCCATTTTCCACACCATATACTAGTATATTGCATCATTTTCCAATTATATTTTTCTCATTGACACGAATAGGTTTTTCAGTATACCTACTACAGGGAGGGCCATCGAAAACTTGACATGTAGGTTTTGGGTACTAATCTTGCATATTCGAAAAAACGCTTAGACAGGTCGTTTTTTATTGGGAAGGAAACAGTTTCTCCCCCATTTACAGCGTCGTTACTTCAACCCTGGAGAAGAGGGGTAAACAAACCTTGGAATTTCAATAGGGAAAAGGGGGCGAGTCGCACTTAGTTTGAAAGATCTTGGAATTCTCTGAACAATGGTGTACATGTTTTCAAATTTGGACGTATTCAAAAGAGTTCTTTCCGATAATTAACTTTTTCAATATTGGTAATAGCAACAAATTGTTGTACGCCACTGCTCAGTTGGAATGTATTTGAAACTCTTTCATTTGTTTCTTACGCTACTTTTCTGTTGATTTTTCAGTTCTTCTTTGATAAGAGGAGTATTACAATTGGAAAATGGTTACAAATGCCGTTTCTATTTCTCATTTTTATGTTAAAAGTGACATCTACATCATTACTAGTAGTGAGCGCCGTAAAGTGTTGCTAAAGAAACAATGGTTTACACAACTGCAGAGAGGGTTGAGTTGATTGAATTGTACTATGGAAATAGACGTAGTGCTGCGAGAGCTGCTGAACTGCAATTAACAACATGGGAAGAAAGTATCGCGACAGAAAGTTTTCGACTTAATTGCAAAATTTTGCGCAACTGGATCTGTAGCAAATAAAAACCGGCAAATCAAACCACCAGTAACAATTCTGGGCCATGTTGGGCCTCACAATGTTCGAGGACGTTTCCAGCAGAAACTCTATTATTGCATGGAAGCTGGAGATGCCCATTTTGAGCATATGCTAACATGAGAATAAATTGAGTAATTTCAACTCTAAATTCAATATGGTTAGTCCGAATTGAAAAAAAATGTACACCGTTGTATAGAGAATTCCAAGAGCTTTCAAACGATGTGCGACTCGCCCCCAGTTCCCTATTAAAATTCCAAGGGTTGTTCACCCCTCTGCTCCGGGGTTGAAGTGACGACGCTGTAAATGGGGAATAACTTTTCTCTTCCCAATGAAAATCGACCTGTCTGAGTGTTTTTTCGGATTTGCTTTGCAAGATCAGTACCCTAAAACTCCATGTCAAGTTTTCGATGGCCCACTCTGTATAAGAAGCCTTTGCCTTCTCATTCATAGATTTTAAATTATCTTCAGTACAATAAGTGCTAATTCTAAAATACGGAGTGTTATTGAAATATGATAATTCGAAGTAACTACTTGTTGTTTTTTGGAAATGAGGAGGTTACTGTAATTAATAAATTGGATGTTCAATTTCCACATTACTACAGTGATCTTATGTACTCGTATAAGATGAATAATAACTATAGTCCGTTCATAATTTGTCGATAGCACAAAATGAGGGCCCAAGTCATAAAACGGTCGTAAAACTCGTAAAATCATAGGCGGAGGTTCCTGAGGTGTTTATTCATTAAATATAAAGCTTCAGTTTATATTCGAAACTTGCCTTGAAAGGGTGAAGTTGTTACGAACGAAAATAATTTTTGGTTTAGTACATTTTTTAATCGCATTTAATTTACGGCTCGTTGGTGTTTCGGCGTCTACGGCNTACAGTTTACAGTACCTACAGTTTAAGAATATTAATATATTTATTTATTTAAAGTAACTAATGTTTTAATCATATACTCTACGACACTGGTCACTCATTTCCACTCAAAATACCTACATAATCGGATTAAAAGTTTTATAGCTGTATTGTATTTCTTCAGATACAAGGTGGGTTAGTCGAAAACATCTTAAACTGCCAGTTTTAGTTTGGTTTTTGTTATTATATCATATTAGCTGTCCTCTCTGTATTTCAGTTCTCTAATGAGGGTCAAACTTGCAGTGAGCTATCAACAAATTATGAACGGACTATAGGATTAGATAAAATGCTGTCGCTTTGTGCCCCTTATGCTTCATGTGCAAAACTGTTACTAATTCATTTTTTCCCATGGATCTTAATTAAAAAAAGTCTGACATAGAGTGGCAAAGTTACTAGTTCCAAATTCAAACATCAATAACTCCACAACCGGTTATCGAAATTAGAGAAAGTTAGGGTCATTGTTTAGAGAATTCAAAAACTGTTCTAAATTACCACAAGATAACTCAATTTACTTACACAAAAGAAGTAAATTTAATGAAATAAATAATGATACAGTCCTTTTTCTATTGAAGACAATAAAAATGTTATGTTCATCGTAAAAGTTTATGAGAAAAATGGTACGTTTTTCAGGTTTATGGAAACAAAAACTATTTTTTGAATCTAGCACGCTTTGATATCATCATCGAATCATATGCATCCGAAGACCAAATTCGCATGATGCAATTTTCTATCTTAATCATAGATTTTTTTATATTGAATCAGGGCGACCCTGGAAATGAATTTATTTAAACAAATTTATTGAGTAGAATTCAATAAATTTGTTCAATAAAAGTGGAAATTATTGATCTGATTCGAATACCAACAAGTAGAAATCGTTTTTCATGAAAATACGACTTTCTGAAATATAAGGGAGGTTCAAAACTAAGTTGCAAATTTCCAAGAAGTCTTCTTATAGAAGATTCGGAAGGTTTCCACATTTTTTTTATCAAGATGGAGTAGAAGAAAAAAACATTCTATCTCAAAAATTAATCACTCCTAAGTCTTACTTGTTCACTCACAAAATGGTTCAGAAAAATAATTTATTTTGCAGGCTGTTGCAGCAACTTCCGCAATGAGTGACAGGATTTGCATTCATTCCAATGGGAAAAAACAAATATACGTTTCAGATGAAGACTTGATATCATGTTGTTCAGACTGCGGGTATGGGTGTCAAGGAGGATATACTATCGAAGCGTGGAATTATTGGCGGGAAACAGGTCTTGTTTCAGGGGGACCTTATAACTCGACGACGGTAATAATGATAGTAACATTTGATTCATCGTCCATTTTTATATAAATCAAATCTACAACAATTTAGCTTTCCCATGAAATTGAAAATTATAGCTCACACTGAAACACTACGAGTAATCAAATACTGTATTGTTACATTTTCCCTGTGGGTGGTACACTTTTCAATTAAACTCAACTTTATTACGCTGCTACACTGACAATACAACCACTGTCCACTAGACTGATATGAGAATAGGTAGTGTTTATACAGTGCGTAAAAGCCAAATGAAATAAATTCCTTATTTCGGTTACGGTACATATTTTAACAAAATCCGGAAATACTCTTCAGATTTGAATGACTTGAAAGAATAACGCTTGCGATTAGGTCGGTCATGCCTGATATGTTAAATAATATTAGAAGACAGTTTCATATGGGATTAGATATTGCCAAGACGTTCGCGGTGAACATTTTGAACATCTACTTCATTAAATCCATAGTTCTTTTTCGTATTCTACATTTCATTACGTTTTGCATTACATTTTGAGTGTATTTTATCGAGTTTCAGTAACCACATGTTTTTAATTTATTTTATCCTAATTGTTGCAATAAACTTGAAAGCGATAACATTTTTGAATAGAGAATGAAGATTCTTTTCAAACAATATATCACAAACCTGTACTTCCCATTTAAAAAAGTGGGGGTTGTATCTGTCATCCAAAGGATGTTGAAGGTAGGGGTGGAATTTTTACGTTGAGGAATGTCAAATTATAATTTACATTTAACGTGTTTCGGGATTTTTTAAAATATGTATTGTAACTGAAATAATGAATTCATTCCATTTGGCTTTTACACACTGTATATGCCAATAGAAGTCTTAGGAAGCCAGAGGAATCATTGTTGAAGTGACGAGACATCTACATCACTAAGCGCCCGTAAACTTGAGCGCGATTTTGGCCACGTCACAATTGATTTACAACGACCAGCGGCGGCCAACGTTATTATTTTTTTAGGCAACACTACCCATTCGCACTTCGAAAAGTCTAGTGCGGTGCGACGTGTTGAAATATGTTTAAAACATATGTTTTTCCGTTAACCAGCTGTCGCACCCCTACAAACGACCACCATCAGAAGTCGAAATTTGTGTGAGCTAAAAACTAACGTGGTCTTAAATTTTAACGAGTGATTCCCAACATAGAAGGCGATAGACATTTGAATATTGGTTTGGTTTGAATATTGTTTGGTTGTCTCGTCAGTGTGGTACATTATCAGAATTATATGAGGAAGCTATTTCGTATCTTGAAACTTATTTTCATATAGGTATTCATTAAAATCACGAACTTTTCGAAAAGAGCACAGACTTATTCACTATCATTGACTTTATTGTTATTCAATGAATGTTGGGCATCATAGCCGAACAGAGGAAAAAAGTAACAATCAAAAAACGAAATCAAAGGATAGTTTTGATAATTCCAGTTATTGCAGGGAGCATTTTTGAAAACATTAACTGATGGAGCACAAACCATATGCCTAGGCAGGCCGATCCAGTGAACGAAAAGACGATTGCACAGATAATATTGGCGACACAGTTTTACGAATCTTGGTCTCACTATTTCATATGAATGTCCCCTCAATCTTTCATCATTACTCCGCACAGAAAGTCCACATTCACTGAGTAGTGTCCAAGGAGGATTTGGAATGTATCAATGAGATCAATGAGAAGTTAATTCAAGTAATTGGGTTTGCTCAAGAGTATATATGTCTTTGGCAAAGTGAGGATTCCCAACTGGTACATCATACTCGAGGATTGGTCTAACGCATATTTTATATCGAGATCTTTTTGGTGCCTTACGGGTTTCATTGAAACGCCCTCAATAAAATACTAATCTTTTGGGTTATTAGGATCAATGTGGAAAAAACGGCACCTTTATCCATTTAGATCCAGGAACCACTTTTGATACCACTCTTTCAGTTGCTGAAGGTCATTATATTTCTATACAGGTTCGGGTTTGCTTTCAACTTCCTGTCATCGGCAAAGAGAAAGACGTTAGTTAGGAATTCATTTATAATAGGGGAGCCCAAGCGGGGATTTCGGAATTTACTAAAGCGCGGCAGATTAATATACAGGGGGATACCTTGTACCCGTTTGAGTACCTACACCAAATATAAGCCCCATATATAAGGCCGTCTGTGAGGGATGAAGGATCAGATTAGTAAAAAAAAAATGATCATCAGAAATTTTCGAGCGCGTCAGATTGAGGTAGGGTGAGTTAATGACCTGCTAAAAAGTGTATATTCCGGTAATCTGACAATTTGAGATTGACGTAAAGAAAGGGGAGGGCAGCAAAGCTGTAAAAAAATAACGTCATTTCGACATTTTTGAGCGTGGATAGAGTTCAATGGATGTAGCTGTGTGATACCTATATTTCCCCCTCCGAGTTTCTATTCCTCTATTCTCTATTCTCTTTTTCTCTATCTTTTACTTTCTCACTCCGTCCCCGCTCTGAATTCTGTTTCCATGACGCCATCACAGCAGATTACAGAGACTCGTTCGTGATGAAGATGATGATTAATTAATCAATCAATTGATGGATATAGCTGTTACTACGTGGTAGGAAATCATAATGAAGAAAAGAGAAATTTAATATCTGACGCGCTCGAGTATGTCCATGCAACAGTGATTTTTTACATATTCAAAAATCTATAGCCGCTTTCCCCACCCATGAAAAGGTATATATCATATACATTTTTTTTCTTCTTATCATCTAAGCTTTGCAACCTAATATGTCTCAGTGACGCTCGAGTAAATCCACATTTTGCATCGTGGGCTCCCCTGCTATTACGAGATCGCTAAGAAATATATTGGAAAACAGTGGGCAAATTACTGACCTCTGGTGAATACCACTTACTGCTGGGCATGTGTTATTGTCATCATGGATAGTGTTATTAATTTTCATCAAGTAAGGGATTAGTGAATTCACAAATGAAATTTTGTCAACCTTCCATTACAGAAACAAGTCTTTTCTCTCACGATACCTAAATTAATTTTTGTCATGTTCATTCATCCTATTTTTATTTCAATATCATTTCATTCAATGTTCTAGGGATGCAGAGCTTATTCTTTGGCACCATGCGAACATCATACAACCGGTTCCAAACCGGCATGTCCTAAAGATATTTCTCCCACTCCTAGATGCAATGAACAGTGTGACAAACAATCTTCCTTCTCCTATCAATCTGACAAATCATATGGACAAAATTCTTATTATGTTGGTGTGTTAGATGAGCAAATACAATTGGAAATATTGAAAAATGGTCCCGTTGAAGCTGCATTTATTGTATACACAGATTTTATAACTTATAAGAGTGGTACGTATTCATTTGATCAGACCAGATCATACATCTGTTATCCAGCTGTCGCCCTACAAACGACAAGCCATTCTAAGGGACTACGTTTACCCTATCCACTGGTTGGAATCATTGTCATCTAGCCACTTTCAAACCAGATTGTCATGATGAAGAGATACCTCATCTTGCTGAAACCTAATATTAGTTGAGAACTCATTCGGATTTGACAATTTTTGCTACCGGTAGACAGGGGAACGTGATTCTACTACATCATCTGATATGACCTATCTAGATCTTTTTGAGGCAATATGCGACATCTGAATTGTGTGATAGTCAACTTTTTAGGTGTGAAATAATGAACAGTTCAGAGCAATTGATAGCACAGAAATATTTGAGAGTATTATTTTGGTAATATATTATAATACTCTGATTTGTGCATATTCATAGAAGTTGATACGCGATCAGGTTTTATATTCAGTACATGAATAAAGTCCATATTGAAGTTATGAACTGGCCAACTTGAATCTTAGTTTTGAATCCCATTGATGAGACACTATCGAAAATGCAGTAAGACAACATTTTTCAAATCCACAAAACCTGCAACAGATAGAATATACAACGATATGAATAGAAAAATATTCATATATCTGTTATCAGGAACTCAAAAGCTCAACTTGCTGATTTCGGGGTGTTCTCTGTATCTGTAACTGTAGAGTAGGGAGGATGAGTGGACGCCCTCCCGATGAGTTGTCCTTTCCAGGAAGGTGGACAGGTCACTAGGAGACATCTCCGTTATATCGGCAGGTGCAGGTCAAGACACACTCTCTCATTGACGATAACTCCGGGCACTCGCACAGGACATGCCTGACAGTCTCATCTTCCTGTTCACACATTCTGCCTAGAGGTGTGTCCACTAGCCCCATATTATGGATGTGTTTCTTAGTTGACAGTGACCAGTCAGAAATCCTACTGTTAAGCGTATATTTTTCCTGGTCATTGCCAGATATTTCTTCGGCGCCAACTTCCCAGGATCGCCCAAGGTGATCCTGGCAAGATTGCATCCTTTGATTCCATCTCATCTCTTCATGGGCTGAGCCTGGGTGTAACATTTGACAATTCCCCAATTGTCTAAGTCTTCAGGGCGTAGGTGCCACTGGGTCCTAAAATTCTCAGTCCAGCCGCTTCCTTAGCTGAAGAGTCGGCAATGCGATCACATTTACTCCTGTCGTGCCCTTTAACCCACCTTAGGATAATGTTATTATCGACCGCGGCTTTGGCTAAATCTTGGTGACACTCTAGTCCTAGCCCCGAGGTTATACGTTGTCTGTTCAAGGCTAATAGGGCTTGTCTGATATCAGTGTTGTTATATTTTTGCCAGAAATTCCTTTCTTGGTCATTTCTTTTGTGGCGATTAAGATACCAACCAGTTCTGTTTGGACCACGCTGGTATTTCTTCCCATTCCCCACTTAATCCTTAGGCTGAGTGAGCTGGAGTACACTCCACATCCTGAGCCTTCTTTGGTTTTTGAGCCGTCTGTATATATGTGTATTGTATTTATAGCATCCGACTCTATATTCTGCTTGATTTGTATTTTGTAGGGTTTATTAAACACAAACCTGGGTTCAATTGCTTCACTTGTTGCCTGCAGCAGAGGTTGCGCAGTAAGCGCTTTCCGCCATAGGCCCAGCCTCAATTGACCCATTCCTACTTCGAGGTCTACACCAGCCGTGCACAATCGTACCATGGCCATTAACGCAACCATCTTAACGTACAGGTCCAGTGGAGTCAGACCCGTAATTAATTCCATTGCTGTGGTTGGTGTTGTTCTCATGGCTCCTGTGATGTTTAAACAAGCCAGTCGCTGTATTTGATATAATTTTTGGATGGCCGTTGCTTGTAGAACTTTCGGTCCCCATGCAATGGCTCNATAATCAGAGGGAGAAATGAATGTGAGATCGAAGATGAAATAGTAGCTGGATTGCCAAAGTTGTGAATTTCAGAAGACTGATGAATGCTCCAATCAATTTTTTGAAAATGTATATGTTATATGGTGTTTATATATAATAAATATTCTTCCTAACTTTATTTTTTAGCATTCAATAGTTAAATAGAAAATAATGTAATTTGTTTGTTGGTATCCATCATTACCATACCAGATATATAATTCATCGAAAGCCGATGATGATGAGAAATTATTTGAAACATCGGAATATACAGAGTGGGCCATTCATACAAGGAAGTGCAACAGTACCGTCGTTACCGGAAAAAGGAAAAAGCAGAATTGAGTGGGAGTGATAACATTGGTTGAGACAATAATGTAAAATAGTTCCTATAGGTTGTATGGAAGTGTCAATCACAAAAAAAAGGTGATAGCAAACATTTAGTATTTTTCAAAAAGACCCTAATTTTGTTCGCATGATTTGATTTAACATGAATATTGCACACAGAATACTCTATTTCGATTTGTTCAGGATTCTAGTGTTGAGTGTTGCTATGCTATCTATAATTTTGTTTTATATTTGAGTAAACATTATATTTAAAAAGTATTTGAAAAGAGTGAGTTGCTGGACTTGAGAGTCTTTTTTATTAGAGTACTGAATGCAAAATCTTTAGAAATCCATACCTACTAATATCTTCATTTTGAAGGAAATACATTATGTATACATATATCAAATTGATGGAGGAAGCCGTTGCTATGTGGTAGGAGATCATGAAAAATTAAAATTGAAACTTATGTTTTTTCAACTTTCATTTGTAACTCGCATTACTGCAGTTTCGTCCTATAAGGACATTTTCAAACGTTGGAAGATTCCCACTTTTTCTTTTGTATCAAGATGGAGTAGTAGAAAGCCAAAAAATTGGCCGGGTCGCAGTTCTGATATGAATTCTCTAGATTTATGTGGTCATCTAAAGGCTCTTATTGATAAAACTCCTCTACTAGATGTGAATAATTGACAATTGCAGTGTCATAAGGAATGCCCCAGGTATTTTTGAACAAAACTGCAATCAATTTGTTATCAATTGCAGTTTTATCAGAAGGTGGACAGTTTGCTCATTTATTTTGAAGTCGAAATTGTTCATTATAACTGAATCGGTGTAAGGATATCTATGATATTTTATTAATTTCGTTTTTTTAAAGTCAACGCCCTTGTATGTCAGAAATGAAGCAACTTCAGAAATATGAACATAATAACTTTTTTCTTGAAACGACCTAACGAATTACCCCCGAAAAATCCTATCGTACAGAATAATTGAT